AGAGAATATCCCCTCTAGACCAAGCGCTTTTTTCTTTTTACTCAACCTCTCGCGATGACAGATTGAGCAAAATAACTCTATTATGTTGTGTTTCACATTGGAGCTCTATTTGTCTTGACATTAATGTACATTTGTGTTATCACAACAAATTTAAGGCAGTCGATTATAATTTGTTGACACAACCTGTGTGCTCTACAGGGGTATCGCTTAGAGAACTGGACCGACCAATCCTTCATGACTGTCAGTGAGGTGATGATAAACAGGATTTCGAATGCGAATGATTACTGAGGAAAGCATAAATCTAACCATCATATTTTGCAGTCATAGTCATGTTTGTTAATGATCGATGCAAAAAAAATGCACTATGGTAGAAATGTGAAACATCAACTAGTCAGTGGGTCTTAAGGAAGTTATGTATAATTAAGCTGTAATTTTAATTTTAAGGAAGTGGGAAGTGCCCTTTTCTGAAATATGTATATAGGACAGGAGGCATTATATCAGTCAGTTGCTACAGTGTGCCATTTGAAGGAGTTGAGCAGCATGTGAAATCCTCTCTAATTGCATGTGTGCAGAAACCCAGAGTGCTGCACTGTGAGTTTTCGTCTCTTTGCCCAAAAAGGCGAAACTAATGCAGTCTGAGAAAGCGTTCCCAGCATGCCAATGCCAAATAAACCAAAAGCCACATAAAACATCCACATTATTCAGTAATTACAATAGCCTGTTATCATTTATTAGAGAAATGTTGCGCATGTTTTGCGAAAGCACATGCCCATACAGTCTCAAACGGGTTGACCTCATTTTGATTCTGACAGTTATGAGCCTTTGAAAGGAGAGAAAGCTGGATACCAAAGCGAGGGATGTGCAAGCAGTGTGGGATTTTGAAAAGCAGCTAAAAGAAAACGCAAATGCTTGGAAAGAACAGCCGAAAACGGAGTGTGGAGAGGTGGGACAGTGGGAGGCAGAGGGCCATCTGTCAAACGTGGCTTGGCAGTGGAGCGAAGGAAGGAGCAGTATGGAGACTGCATGTTCACACAGTGTAGCGCATTAATCATGGTGTCCCCTCCCATCGCTCAAGCCCATGAGTACACAAGCCTCCCCAGTACAGTCATTACAGCATAATACAAACATGCAGATATGATGAACACATCTGAGAAACTCTTGGCTCAGAAGAGAGAACGCAGCCCTTGTGTCCTTCTGAATTAACACAGTAATGTGGGAAAAATGTTTTTGTTTGCGCACTTCTGTAAGAAAAGAAATCTTTGTAGACACATTTGGTTACTTTGCTTACATAATAGCTGACATTGACATGATTATGTGAAAAAAAATATCAGTATAAAATATCAATAAAAATACCATATCAGTTAGCATTTTTTTATTTTAATTTTTATTAAATATTGGATATACGCTCGGCCAAAAATAAAAGTCGCTGTTTGGATTTAAATAGCCAAATGCTTAAGAGTCTATGATTGGATGATTATTGCAGTGATTATGTTTCTAGCATGTTATGTGTTTGGCAACAGTTCTTTTAACCCCAATTGGAGTGTGTAGCTTTTAATTTCTTAAACAACCACGTAGGAAGACACATCATGTCCATATTCCAGGATGACAATGTCAAGATTCATCAGGCTCAGATTGTGAAAGATTGGTTGAGCATGAAGAATAATTTTTACACATGAATTGGCACCTCTGAGTCCAGACCTTAAATCCATTGAAAGTCTATGGGATGTGCTGGATTTCTGTACCTGACCCGAATCTCTTCTTTTATCCGAAACCGACATGCATAATTTTTTATTTATTTTTTCAAAGGAAAAACCCGAACCGAGACATACTTGATAAAATTAGACCCGAGTCTATTTTCGAACCCGACTGGACCCGAAGGCACTCTGCATTTCACAGCCTGCAGCCCTACGGTCAGTCAGGAACAATCCCGGTGTCCTGCTGACTGATTTGGCCACTGTTCCATTACTTTAATTTATTTAATTATTTATTTATATTATTGCCTGCCCGATAGATACACATTATTTCTGAGTTCAGCTTTCAATTGTGACCAGTGGATTGGAAAAATAAACGTGATGGCTCGATGAAAATTAAATCGATAGCCTAATAAATCATGGATTCACTAGTGTCTGCAATGCTGTTTATGTTAGGCGAAGGGCTCTGCACACAAAAAAAGAAAAGCCCTGCATGACCATGCAGCGTAATGACGTGAGTGGCTTTTCCTGATGGATCTCATAGCTATAAGATGGATTTCTGCGTGCGAGGTTACAAACGTTTGTTCCTTTTCTACGTGCGTTTCTCAAAAAAAACAAAAAACTAACACGAACGTGCAAGTACGCGCTGAAGTTCTGAAATGTCAATCAACTATAAACGTATAAATTATAATCACTGGCTTCCGGAAACAGCCGTACGCAAGTCGAGTTCCGGCGGAAGAGTGACCTCTGACTCGACATAGGACTAGCGTAAGCTTAGGTGAGTCGACGCCTCTCGCAGTTCAAACTAATAGGGCTGGGCAACAAACTCGATCACATCTTTTCTTATATCGAAATCCTTTGACATTTCTCTTCAGATTCTTGCTTTAGACTTCTAATTCATGACCGGTGTTTTGTTTTGCTCTATCTTCTGCACTTACGCGCCCGTAAATACATCATGTGTCGGGTCTTAGGTCACACTTAAGGCGCGTTTCAGACAGCGCTCTAACACATTGCACTTAAACGGACACATACACACAAGATTGTCAAAATACCCGTCTCTGCTAGTTTTCTCTCGGTTATGTCGTAAGTGAACAGTTGAGAAAGAAACCGGATGCGTCTCAGTATGTTTGGTCCGTACATTCGGTCTTAAAGGGATACTCCACTTTTTTTGGAAATAGGCTCATTTTACAACTCCCCCAGAGTTAAACTGTTGAGTTTAAAACTTTACTGCCGTACCATGAGTGCAGCAGGCGTAATGATATGACCCAGCGCCTGAAAATAGGCTACCTTCCGTCAACACAACTGAACTATTTTCAGGCGCTGCGTCATATCATTACGCCTGCTGCACTCATGGTATGGCAGTAAAGTTTCTTGATTATTACGCAGGAATGAGAGTATAGTTCCTAGCCATATCAGCCTAGAAAATCGCAACTTTACATTTTCTGTCGGTCTTAGTGCACGATGTAACTACAGAAGAGTCAAGTTTTAAATAGGAAAAATCGAAAATCTTTGGTCATTTTTTTTTTTTTGAAATGCTAATGGTCTTGTCCACTTCAATGATGTATGCTAAGCTATGCTAAAAGTGGTACCGCCAGAACCGGAGATCGGCTGAATGGATTCAAAAACGGTAAAACTCAACAGTTTAACTCTGGGGGAGTTGTAAAATGAGTTTATAAAGTTATGAATATGGATATTTTTCTTTAAAAAACGCATCACTTTGCTTTAGAAGGCCTTTATTAACACCCTTGGAGCCATATGGATTACTTTTATCATGGATGGAGGCACTTTTTGGGGCTTTAAAATCTAAGGTACTTTGACTAAGTTATTTTATTATGTCCATTTTATTTATTTAAAAAGTAGCCATGTAATAAGCAGGATAATATAAAGTCAGTATTGCAAAAATAAACCCAGCATTGACCAAATAGCTTGGATTATATAAAAGCGTAGTTGCAACATGTATGCGTGAGACGAAGAGTGACTAATGACTTGAGAAATTTACAAAATCTCTCACTCGCTCATAACAAACATTAAGAGATAAGCAGGATCAGCCGATTTACTCTTGTCTGGCACGGAGGAAATGCATCACAAAGTGATCGATTGATTTAATCTGAATGGCACGTCTAACAGTGCTGAGTGTGACGGGAATTACGAGTCCACAGCAAGCAGCCAGGTCTTGACATGCAGCGAGGTAACAACTAATAATGGCCGTTTTCACTTGCCTTGGGCTCAGGATCAATGCTAATGACCAGTTCTTGGCTGCTCCGCTGTAAAGCTCTAGATGTCCTAATTTCACAATGTGTGACTTAATTAGCTATTCCCAAAGCACTCTGGGGTTATGGATGAAAGCGTAAACATTGCACCAGTGCACAGATACTGAGAAGCTGTTTTTAAAATCACTGTGTGTGTGCTGGCAAAGCAGACAGCAACTATGCTGGCCTTCATACTGCTCTGTTGTGGTCTGTTTTTGGTGTAACAGCTGTTGTTCTTGACATTAGAGCAACAGTCGTTCTAAACACCACGCTACTGAGGGGACTTAACCCCGAGCTTTGATCTGAGATCAGTATGGGTAGTTCAGCTCGTAGGTCCAGATATAATCTGTAATTGCCATAGCCGTCAGGTCGTTAATTAGGGGTGCAACAACTGATGCGTTAAAAAAAAGGGCAAGACAGTATCCTACAAACAGACCTCATTAGAACAAGGGCTGTTCTAGCCAAATTGGTCATTTACATCCATTGGTTCAATCTAGAGCTGGTGTTTAAATAGATTTTTATGAGAATTGTTATAGAATTGTTCAGATTTTTTTCTCTCTTCAGTGTGGTTTAGTTTTTCTTAGTCTATCATTCATGCCAAAGTAGATGTTAATTTGTATCATTTAAAATGTAATTTTCTCAGCACAATCTAGTGTTATTGCAATCTAGTTCCATTTCATTTTCTGGATCTATAAAATGTTTAAAATGTTACAGAACTTCTTTTTTTATTTAAGGTTAATGTTTAGGCATGGAAAGCTAGTATATTAGGGATATATTAGCTTGTATTAGGAAGTTAAATTACCAGGGTTTTTGTCTCCCTGCTGTATAAAGGAAAACCGATGAGTGAAATTGTGTCTGTTTCTCAACTGTTGAGAACACATTCTTCTCCGATTTCTCTGTGTAGGCAAGATTTCTCAACTGGCTACAACACTTGCTTGTTTTAACTTGTTTTTCCCCCACATAGTCCTTCTCATTTGGCCCTAGTGAGCTTGTCATCCCGATTTGAGAAATCTCACTTTCTCGCCTCTCACACTTTTCTATTTTTTCCCCTCACAGGAAACCTCGTCCTGTTCCCCAACTGGTAGCCCAGCAAGTCACACAGCAGTTTGCTTCACCCACACAGCCTAAGAAAGAGAAAAAGGAAAAGACTGAGAAGGACAAGAATGAGAGAGCACCGACACTGAAAAAGAACAGCCACAAGAAAATGAGGTGAAACATTGCAATACGGTCCCTGTATTTATGAATTTACTAAGTAGTACCTACCCCTAGTGATGTATGTCTCGAGACCGGTCTTGGTCTCGAGACCGGTCTCGAGACCACTTTTACGTGGTCTCGGTCTTGTCACGGCCTTGACGGTATTTGGTCTCGGTCTTGTCTTGGTCTCGGACCTCTCGGTCTTGTCTAGGTCTCGCTGTCTCAGACTGACATAGTGGTCAGGGGATTGAGCAATACAATACTACAATATCCACGACGATATCCACAACGGATTGAAGCGCGCGTCCGAGTGAAGACAGTGCGGTGCGCGCGAGCCACGCGAGAAAACACTGTATCCGCGCCACTGATCGCAGCGGCAACGAGCACTTTGATCACTTGATTTAAAAAACACATATCATCAGGGTGCGATTTGTGAAAAAAACAGAGGGGGGGATGTTTTGAAAAAGTTTTATTCATAAAAATAAATCATGAGAACATGAACTTCATCACTGCATTTGCAGGAATTGTAAAATCTTTTTTCTTATTAACTCATGAAGTAGCCTAACGCAATATGTTTTACTCTAATAGCTTATCATGTACAGTTTTTGATATATTAATATTTAGTAAAAGACATATCAGTGACATGATGGGTTTTACCTTCATTCAGGAGATTTTGGGTAACTGCACAACTGACAGATGACTTTGAGCGCACCGCCAACGGTGTGTGTGTGTGTGTGTAACCATAGCGACAAAAACGACCAACTTTCGGATCCTGCACTTAAGCCTATAATTTCGTTTTTAAAAATATAATTATGTATTTAAAAGTTGCAGAATGGATTCATTTGGAGACGTCGAAATCAGCAGAGATAGGCAGGCAAATGCAAAACAACATTTGACAAGTTATTGCTTAGCTTCAACACTAATGTTTTTTTTCCCCTCCGGTCTCGACTTGGTCTCGGTCTTAGTCTCGACTTGGTCTTGGTCTCGACTTGGTCTGTCTTGGTCTTGGTCTTGGTCTTGTCTTGGTCTCGATACCATCTGGTCTTGGTAGTGTCTTGGTCTCGGTTTAGGCGGTCTCGACTACAAGTCTACCTACCCCCCAAACAAATTAACTAGTTGTTTATTTAGCATTTTACGTAGCAAGTACCTCACACTGTGGAAAATGTATATGGTTATTCTCTTTCTGGAAACTATTTCAATATAAAATATTTTACTTGCCAAAATGTACTGAGAATTATAGAACACTTTTTTACAAATATATTTTTTCAAATCAAATGAAATGTTTCTTGAGCACCAGATCAGCATATTAGAATGATTTCTGATGGATTATGTGAGACCGAAGTAATGATGGTGAAAATCAGCTTGTAATATTTAACCATATCGCTGTTTTTACTCCATTTTAAAAAAGTACTGTTTTTACTTAATGTTAGTATGCCAAGCAAGTCTTCAAATCAATGCTTCTGATGTCATGATTAATCTCTTAGCTCAGCTCATTGCCTCCTAAGTCTTTTTTAATTGCCTATGGATGAGAAAATGCTTGCAAAACAAAGGCCGTTGTGCTTTACATAGTGCTTTATTCAATACAGATTGTTTTAAAGCAGCTTCATGGTAATACACGGGTAAATAATTAATTTAGCGAAATTCATATCCTCTACAGAAGACAGTAGTGTCAGAATGTTTAATGTTGATTCAGTTCAGTTCAATAACGGTGTCAATGTTGCAAAGTTCATCAATTGTAAACGTTCAATTCATCTAATAAAGCAGCTCTACAGAAGGCAATGTCATTATTCAGCTCAAGTGAAGGCAACACTAGCAAATCTGATTTCTTTATTGCTCTCTATCCTGCAGGCCCAGGTTAAAAAATGTGGACCGGAGCAGCGCACAGCATCTGGAAGTGACAGTGGGAGATCTGACGGTTATCATAACAGACTTTAAGGAGAAAACTAAGCCCTCCTCCAGCTCGTCCTCCAGCGCGACATCTGGAGACCACCACAGCCAGAGCGGATCCAACTCAGACAACACAGAGAAGGGGATCTCCAGATCCTCGTCCCCGCGAGGGGAGATTTCCTCACTCAACGGAGAGTCTCACTAGGAACCCGTGGAGTGTGAACATTACTTCCAGTCTCCTGCATCTAATATATCCATTTTAAACAAACAGACACAGGAGCGCGCTTGCGTATGTCAAGACTTAATGAGACAGACTTAACCCAGCAATATAAGCCATCTCTCACTACTACCACAGTTATAGGATCTGGAACATAGGATTTCACCATGATATTCTTGTGCTGATTTGTTACAATGCCTAGTAAGTCAGCTCGAGATAAACTGTAGAGTTTGTAAGCAAATTTGAATTTGATGACATTTAGACAGTTTAATTAACATGGTGGTATTATTAATTTAGATAAGTGGTGTTGTCTGTTTGGATGTGGACATTGACACCCGTTCATGTTCTCTTCACTATAGTTTCGTAAACCATTTTTTAAAACCAGTCTGTAATTGTTGCAACAGCACCCATTACGTCCTGGGAATTGACCCTGGGGCTTAAAAACATGTTGATTCAACTAGAACGTTGTAGTGAACATACTTGCTTTTACATTTAATGACAGTTGCAGCAGTTGCGTATTGAAACTTTAATATACTTTCAATGCATTACGGGGTGGGTGTTAAGCCCTCTATGAATAACTGTGATCGAAACAGTACTTCCTTTTTCAATTGTTTGTTGCACCTGCTGGTACTTTTGTACAGTTTTATGAAAAACCCATCAAACGCAGAAATTCATTGTTTATTTGTTCTTGTTCATGCCGTTTTATTTGACACTTGTCATGGTAGATTGCATCACATTTTTAGTTGTTCTACCAGCGCTGTTTTGTGTTAGATTGTCTTTATATAATTCTGTTAATTCCACGAGAAACAGCATTTTTTGACAACAAAAAAGACAAATGAATTTGTAAGATGTTAAATTCATCCCTACTTTATGATGAATGGTGGTATATAAATATATTGCAGTATAGGAAATATCTCTTAATAAAATTTAAGATTTAGACTCCTGTCGTCAACAAACAGATTTATTTCTAGGGCAAACAAAGACCTTAAGGGAGTGATTATCAAATTTGGGTTGTTTGTGTGGTGAAATGTCTTTTCAGTTCTTTGTGAAATGCACATGACATGCATGAGGGTGATATTCAAAGTGTTGTGTTTTTTACCTCACCATGATGAGTGATGCAATATTTCTCAATAGACTGCCTTGTACAGCAGGAAACATTTAATTTTTTTTATCTGACTGAAATACAGAGCAGAAAGCCTGTTTTGCTGGTAGACAAATCCAGTTCCTCTGTGCTCCCCTTAGGGAATATTGAATATTCATGATGCGTGACATTTTAGTCTACATGTACTATTGTTACATTTTACATTTATTCCTCTATACATAATAGTAAATATTTAAAATGTACTACTACAAATTTAGTTGCTAGCCATTATTACACAAGTCATGCTTTTAATTTTACTAGTTGGTACCATTCTAAGAATTAAAAAATAATAATTTGAATGACTAGTCATATTGGTTATTAAATATTAATGGTTATTGGCTATTAAATTCAATTTAAAAAAATCCTACTTGTAAGATTAAAATGCATGTTGTAACAATTGCTGCTATTAATAATCATTTAAAATCAGTGTCACAATTCTGTAAAATTCAACTACAGAAAATAGCAATAATAATGGAACAAATACAGTTGAAATAAAAATAGAAGTTAGTAATTAAAATACTTATAAAATTAACTTTGCTAGTAAATTGAGGAATCAGTCTTAAAGGGTTTGTTGTAGTAGGGGTCTTTATCACGCCACTGGTATGTGGGGGATGGTGGTGGTCGTTAATGATAGGAAGCATGACTCATTTGTGCGAATCGGTTCTCTCGAAGTTCGTTTTAAAGAACCGATACAGTTGTTCTTTAGGAAATGACGTCATTGCGTGGTCTCTGACACCCTGGCAAACATTTGCTCTAAAACGTTCTAGTAAAGTCAAAATTATGTAGGCACATGTTTCTGTATTAGTTTTTTGTTAAAGTTTTTTTAATAAGTTTAATTATAATTTGATGTATCCAAGTTCAGTTTGTTGCAGCCATGATTTAGCTCATAACTATTCATTTAGAAATTGCTATTTATAAAAAAGTAATTTTTGTTAAAACTGTCATAACGAATTTTTTACACATTTTTCTAGAACGATTTATTCGTAACATTTCTGATATTTGGCTACTCCTAAATATTTTGTTCTATGAAGCAGTGAATCCGATTCAGTGAAAAGATCCGACTCGAACGAATCGCTAGTGGTCATAGTGGGGCGAGTACACTCTTTTCAAGTAAAAAAAAAACTGCCCGTGCCCTGTAGAATGCGTGGATATATTCGTACATTTAGTCTGTGCATAGTTATCGCTCTTCTATCGTTACTATTTTTGTTCAGTAAACATGATGCAGAGAGTTTTTTAAAGCAAGTTAGGGCGCCGCTGGAACCGTCTGTCGCAAAGAACTTAAATGGAGTAAAATCAAAACAAGGACCCATTGCGACCAGATCACACAGACTCGGGTAATCAGATTGGTTTCGTTCATTTTATTTAGATAATGTATGTTTAACCGGCGGAATTCGCGTAAATAACAATTCAAATGTGTGTTTGTCTTTTTTCAAAATAATGTTTGAACTCAATTTTGGAAAGTTACACTGAACATACTATCCCAAAAATCAAAATGTGACATTCAGTTTGCGTTTATGCCGTTTCATCTGGATTCTTTTCTTACATACGAGGCCAGAAATACAGGAAACGTCCACTACTGAAATCCAGTAGTACCCCACACATGACATGACAACAGCCCGTGTAATTCCACACTGACTTGAGACAAGCTGTTGACACCTAACGTTACCTGTACTGGTTCATTGTCAAGAGAGAGTGCTGACATGTCGAGAGCATCGAGATGTTGATGGGCATTGATGCAACAGATAACGAACAGCCAAATCACGCCCCTCTCACGCACACCTGTTTTTCAGGTGATAGACTGAGCTTACAGGCAAATGGGTCATGAATTTGTGTAATTAATTTCACCTAATTCTGAACAATACTGTACCCTCCATTTAACTAATAAATAAAGAATGAATCAATGCTATGTAACATACAGTTGCATTATTGGTATTCCACGAATAGCCTATAGGACATTATTGTACTTGTAAAAAATACTAGAAATCCCATGTTTTCTTTTTTGTTGTAAGACCTATTAGATGTGTTTAATAAACTATTATAACAACAAATAGTTTTAAATACGAAATATATATTTATCATATTATATTTTAATTTTTAAAATAATGTGTCTAAATAAACATCTAAATTAAACAATGTTAGTTGCCAAAAATGTTTAATTAGAAAATGATTGCAAATTATTAGGAAATAAAAACAGCTCATTTAAAATTTAGTTAAGCACCATTAAGCAGCTCCTTTCTCTGACCGTTTGTGGTCTTGTTTACTCATCCATCCCTTTATCAGACCATCTGTTTATTTTCCTTTGTTGTGAGACCAATTGAATACGTTTAATTAACTATTATAACAAAGTTAGTTTTAAACATCAAGTATATTTTTTCATTTTTGAAAACATTTTGTCCATTTGATTTATTTAATGTTTGTTGCAAAAAAAAGCTGAATTAGAAATTTATTGTAAATTGTTAGGAAATAAAAAAAGCTCATTTAAAATTTAATTTCTGTAATTTTCTGAACATTGAGCATCTCTGTTCTCTGACCATTTGTTGGAAAATAAGTTATGTTCTTGTTTATTCACTCATCCATCCTTTAATCAGCCTATCTATGGTTTTAATCTTTGTCGTGAGACCTATTAAAAACATTTAATAAACTATTATAGTTATTTTTAAACATAAAATATCACATTATCATTTTTTTCATGTCTATTTAATTGAATGTTTATTGCAACGACAAAAAAAGAAATTAGAAAATGATTGCATGTTATTAGAAAATACAAGCAACTGTTTAAAATTTTGTTTCCAACCATTTCTAAATGACAAGAACCTCTTTTCACAGACCTTTAGTTAGAAAAGAAGTTGCGATCTTGTTTATTTATTCATCCATACTTCTATCAGCCCATCTATAGGGTTGAGTATAAAGCTCACTGACTGTCCTTTCTTTAGAGATGTTGCACACAAGGTGACTTCACCTGGACAGCGAGAGACGTTGATGCAGCTGGCTGTGGTGGCTTGTGGAGAGAGACACGGGGAAGCTGTCAACATGCTGAAGTCCACAGCCATGCTCAGCAGTCGAGACTTGAGATTTCACATCTTTGCAGAAGAGCAGTTACACACCAACATAAAAGCAGCGGTTAGTATGAGCCAATAATCATTTCTGACATATATGCATGCACATCTATATTGTTGCACAACAACGGGCACATCTCATCAGTGTTAAAGGGGATATGAGTCATTTTAAGGGAACATTTTCCCCCTGTATATCCCAAGAGTGCAAACTCTATGCACTTTAATCTGCTAGAGAACCATTGAGAAACTGTTGAGATAAAAGATTTACCCCATCTTCCTCTTGCACAGCTGGATTCCTGGCCAGCTTTCATCCGAGTGAAATTCAGCTATGTTATTCACCCCATTTCATTTCCCCATGAGAACCATGAAGAGTGGAGTCAGCTTTTCAAGCCATGTGCATCGCAGAGACTCTTCTTACCGGTGAGAATTACTGCAGTCTTGGTTATTGAAACAGCATGTTTAGTTTAAAATATTTTAAGCAAAAGCTGATTTTTTCAATTTTTTTTTCATTTATGATAATTTAAAGGTACACTATGTAACTTTTGACCCTCTAGCGGTTAAAAAATAAAACTGCATGCATTTTGCATAAGAACGTTGTTTTGGTTGTGCTTTAGATCTGCGTGACTGTGCGGATGAATATGGTTATCCTACTTCTCATAAAACATTCACTTCCAGGCATAAAAGACCAGTTTAGATGGAAAGGATCTCAAGCTGACTAGCTGAAGACATTAGACGCAGTACTTCCTTGAAAATACATTTCAGCACAGTGATACAACCATAATGTAATGACCCCTCACAATACAGTATAATAATGCTTTACAATGAACTGTTACAGAGCTATATGGCAATTTATCTGTTCGATAAAATACATTACTCACCTGTTGAGTAATAAAAATGACATCTCCGCGTCACTTTTACAACATTTCCAATCCCTCAGTTCTCGCCATCTCCGAAAAGCTAGGCCGATTTTGATTCTTGTTTCATTACGAGCACTGTCACATTATCTTTTTTTCCAGCAGGCTCTCCACTGTTCTGCGTTTTTTTTAAAACGGGTGATTCCTGGAGATTTAGCTTTTAGATTCCTGGAGATTTAGCTTTTAGATTCCTGGAGATTTAGCTTTTAGATTCCTGGAGATTTAGCTTTTAGATTCCTGGAGATTTAGCTGATCCATGTCTCGCTCGTTGTGACAACTAACCTATATCACTCCCACACCACTCGCATCAAAGTAGCCTGAGCAAATTTTCTCTATTTATAGACGAGACACACAGGCAAGTGACGCATGTACGCAATTTCCCATGAAAACCATCCCAACAGTCTAAATTATAAACACTTATAATAGGCTTACCATAGTGAATCAGGGTAAGACAAAAACAAGTTTGGAAAAAGGATTGATAATTTTTTGACTCTATTCTATTAAATACTATTTAAATTTTGTTAATGTTGAACAAAAAAAGTTACATAGTGTACCTTTAAAATGACAGTGACTACACCTAACAATGCTGTGCTCCTTTCCTTCTATAAGAAAAAAAATCATAAAATATGCATTCATCTTTTCTAAAGTGGTGGACTCTTTTTTTTTCTTTCTGAGAACAGATAATTTCTTTTTGAACTCAAAAACATTGCAGTTTGACAAACTATTTGCAATTTCTTTCTATTCTCTACAGATGATTCTGAGGGAGGTGGACTCCTTACTCTATGTGGACACCGATGTCCTCTTCCTGCAGCCTGTAGAGCTGATCTGGGACATGTTGATGCTCTTTAACTCCACTCAGTTAGTAGCTATGGCACCAGAGCACGAGGAGCCACGGATTGCCTGGTACAGTCGCTTCTCCCGGCATCCGTATTATGGAAGAACTGGCATCAACTCTGGTGTCATGCTGATGAATATGACCCGGATGCGAAGGACACATTTCAAGGTGAGATAAGAGGGCCGGATCCTGAAGTCAGCTATTCCTATTCATCTCAATAGCAGGAACACATGCAGAACTTCATGACCTGGATGCCGCCATCTTTGCTTCATAGGCAAACCAATCATGTGAGCTGTAAATGTCATGTGACATTCTATATTACTACCGGTATATTAAAACTCCTGGCAGCAAACAGGGGGGGGGGGGATATTTACAATATAATTCAAAATGATATAATAATTAATATAACAATATACAAATACAGATAAAATAATACAAATCAATATAAAGATATGTATTTTAAGTTTGGGGTCGGTAAGCTATTTATAAATATTTTTGAAAGAATTCTCTTGTGCTCACCCAGGCTGCATTTATTTGATAATTTTGTTTGTTTGTTGTAAAAACAGGAATATTGTGAAATTTTTTCGCAATTTAGTAACAGTTTCTTTTTTAATATATTTTAAAATATAATTTATTCATGTGATGGCAAAGCTGAATTTTTAGCATCACTACTCCCGTCTTCAGTGTCACATGATCATTCAGAAATCAGAAATCATTCTAATATGATGTTTTGGTGCTCAAGAAACATTTCATTTTATTATCAGTGTTGAAAACATTTGTACTGCTTAATATTTTAGTGAAAACCATGATACATTCTTTTCAGGACAATGAATAGAAAGTTCATCAAAAGAACAGTTTTTTTTTTTTTTTTTTTTTTTTACGTTTTTTTGTAACTTGCACTGACATCTCTTAAAATATGTCAGTGCCATTGTTTTGTCTCAAGATGCACACCAGTAATGATTTCTTCTAAGGCATGTTTATTAAAGCTACTTAAATGTCCTAAATAAACTAAGGTCTAATCCTGGCTTAATCTAAGCCCTGTCTATGAAACCGGGCCTTAAAGGGATAGTTCACTAGCCTGGGAAAACCCAGACAACTTCCGGCAAATTTAGATTTGCTCTGAAAGTTAGTCTGGCAAAGAGCTCATTCAAGCCCATTTCCAATCCGTCGAAATCGAGGCACCAATCAGAAACGTTGGGGCGGGCTTTACACGATGACGACAGTGCTGGGATTTTGAAGCAGATTTTGTAGCCTACATTACAAAGATGGATGCCGCCGTCGAACATCACTCGTTCGAATCAGCTATCGCGTCTGTTTTAAGCGATTTGAACGTTTCCTTTTTGTTAAAAACCGAGCAAAAGAACAACACTCGGAGATGTTTCACCGCCGCTCTGCATACGTCATCTCCTTCATCGCTCTGATTGGTTTTAGTCTATCCGCGACATCCGTTGGTGACGCCCCTCTGGAAATGATTCGTCTATGACGCTTTGCCAGACCATAACTCAGTTACAACTGAGAATGGTCTGGTTTTAACCAGGCTAATAGTTCACCCAAAAATGAAAATTTTGTCATTACTTAAACTCATACAGGTTTGGAACAAGTTGAGGGTCTTTCTTTTGTTGAACACAAAATAAGATATTTTAAAGAATGCTGGTAATCAAAACAGTCCACGTTCTAATCATTTCTTATCAAGACTTCCATAGTAGGAAAAAAAAAAATACTATGGAAGTCATGGCTACCGTCAACTCTTTGGTTACCAACCTTCTTTAAAATATCTTTTGTGCTCAGCAGAAGAAATTCATACATGAGGGTGAGTAAATGGTGATAGAATATTCAGTTTTGGGTAAACTATCCCTTTTAGTTTTTATATATACACATGTATATATATATATATATATATATACACTGTATATATATATATATATATAATGTTGTAATTCCATTTTAGTCCAGAAGAGGACGCCAAATGTCTATTTTTTACCTTGGCTTTTAGATGGAGATACTTAACTCTTTTTTTTTTTTTTACTCTTTATGGACAGAATGACATGACCTCTGTTGGTCTGCACTGGGACGAGCTTCTCATGCCTTTATTGCAGAAATACAAGCTTAACATTACCTGGGGTGATCAAGACCTGATTAATATCATCTTCCATTACAATCCAGGTAAGCCTATCTGGATTTCCTCTATTTCTTGTCTCTTTATTACCTTTCAAGTCTCTGTAACAGATGTGTGTTCACCCAGAGATGGTATTTACCTTCCCCTGCCACTGGAACTATCGTCCTGACCATTGTATCTACGGCAGCAACTGCATCCCGGCTGAAGAAGAAGGTGTTGTCATTTTGCACGGCAACAGAGGAGTGTTTCACAGCGACAAACAGCCTGCCTTCAAGGCTGTGTATGATGCTTTCAAACATGTGAGTTACTCTGCATTATTTTAGAGGAGTTTAACACTAACGGAAGAATGGAAGTTTCTAGACCTTTTGTTGAGTTCCAACCAATGTGTCTTTCCAAAGCTAATGAATCACTCTTTACTTTTTCTGGCAGTACACATTTGGAGAGGATCTCGTAAAATCCTTCTTGTTGCCGCTGGAAGTGGCGCTGAATGGAACCACACACACATACTGTGGGAAAGTTAGTCATTGCTTTACCAGAGGACTTGGAAAGTCTGTAAAGAGGATCCAGAGAAGGACTCTACCTGGTGGCTGAGATGTGTTACTGTCACTGTTGCTGAATAACGACAGAAATGTATTCTGGGAGACTGGATAAGAACGTCATTGCCTTTCCAGTCGTATTGCCTTAACATTCTGTGCAATGTTAGTGGTGAACGTTCAGGTCGAAACCTTGGAGCTGATGTAGGACGTGCTAAATGATGAAATGCGCATTTAAACCTATACCTTTCAAATTGCCATTATCATTTCACTTTTGTATCCTGGTTAAAGGGACAGTCAACAAAAAAGGGAGATTGACATCATTTATTGACCTAAATGTCCTTCCAAACTTCCTTTCCAGGAACAAATAAGGCGAGTTGATGTTCCTCACACTCCATGACTTCTGAAGACTTTACAGACAAAAACTCATTACTTTTATGGTTGCTTTTTAGTACTTTTGGATGTACTGTTCCTTTAAGAGTGTTATTGAATGTAATAAAAGATGTAATAGCATTAATTGGAAAATACTTGAAAATGTAAATATTCATTTTACATAATGTTCATATGAAATAAAACTATATATGTCATTAATCAGATTTAGACTTTTTGACTATCAATATCATTCTCCACTGAATAATTACATCAGTAAGGATATATATTTTTAAATATATGCTGAAGTGGACAGTTCATAAGATTTTGCATTTAAAACGTGATGTATTTCTGAGGGAAAGCATATTCATGAAAATTAAAAGTTTAGGGGGAAAAAATCGACTGGGTTAATGAAGGGCACCTGCTTTCTAAACTTTCAGTGATGAAAAATAAATACATTTGCCAGTTAATTATCCACTTATTTCATATGGAGACTAAATATAATATACTATCAAAATTGTAATTGTTTTGAATTTTTTCTTTAAATACAACTTTCCTCCACCAGGGTGCAGCATTGATTCAGGTTTTTACAAACGCAGATAGTGTCTTGGAATGATTACAGACAGTGGCTTTGTTCTGTGATAAGATCACACAGCAGTAAATACTGAACAACTTCCTAACAATAACCTTGTAACAGCTTGATACAGACTTTTTCAAGTGAACATTTGAGGGAATTTAAAAACACACCTCAAGATAAATTCTTGGAGTATAAGAAAGGAGGAAATAACCCCGGGAAAATCTATAATGGGATCATGGATTAAAATATCATTACTTGGCAAACCTTAAAGCAGTAGATGTTAATGAGACAGGAAGACCTGATTCATTTCTAATCCAGAAGTAGTCCCGCATAAAGACCATTTGAAGTATCAGCAACCTGTGCTTGAAGGTCGAGGTGACTTCACAGCCTAACAGGACACAATGAGACATAGTTACATCTCATGGATCAATGTAGCAGCAAATAAACCATGTCTGGACCACCTGAGGCACAAGAGCTGATTTACAAGGATGTTCAGGTCAAAGGCTAGACTTGATACAGCAATAATGAGGGTATGTCGGTGGTCTTCCTCTTGTACAGTATATGACAACCTGGAAGATGGTATACTATGAGTCTATTTTCCAATATTTAAAGGAGAAAAATAGTGAGGATTAATCTGCATCAAGTTTCATCAATTCACCTCTTGCATGAAAATAAACAATATTTACAGGCCTCGCTGGGAAATAAAGTTTGGAGATTTTTAAAAGGAAAACATTTGCCTTAAATACCAGTATTCATTCATTTAGATTTTTACTTCTTCATTTATTAATTTTTATACTTAACCTTTTTTTTATATATATAAAAATTGATTTATCTTGATGTTAATTTCAACATTTACTAATAAATATTTTTAAGTTGTATGTTTTAATATTGTTTAATGGACCTGAGCTAACTTGAACTAACAATGAACTGCTGTATATATCAACTAACGTTAACAAAGATAAAAAATATTGTAATACTTGTGTTGCCCATTGATAGTTAATGTTAGTTAATGCACTAACCAACTTTAACTAATAGGACCTTATTGTAAAGTGTTATCACATATACATACATATACATATATAATGTAAAAAAAAGGCATTAAAACACTCAAAACAATGAGTGAAATAATTTACAACATTTTAAAGTTTAGTTTAATTGTGATAGTGAAATGAACATGATTTCCATGTTTAAAAATTATGTTAATATATTGAGTTATTACAAATGATGCAACCCAGTTCATTTATTAAGTCTAAACGTCCTTTTATTTTATTTATAAAACTCCATTTATTGGTGTCTCCTATCAGTGTGGCATTATACCATTTTCATGTTCACTCTTAATCGCTTCAGTTCAGGGACAGGAGAGGCGTAGAGGCTAAAAAAAAAATCTGTTGGTCTATTGTCTATTGCCTCATCTGTGTGTCCTCCATCAAACACTGCCTGTCTGAACCAGCCCCTCGTTTACAATGGATCCTCGATCTTTTCTTTCCATCGTTTCTCCCTTGGACAATATTTACCTCAAGAGGCAACAAATATATGTTTTTTTTCTGCTCAACAGAAAAGCAGCCTGTGGTTTGGTGAAAGAGACCTTATCTCTCGCTCCTATTTCCCCCCAGTGAGTTTTTCATTTAGGTAATTACAGCCATGTGAAAGGAGACTCTGCAGAGAGCCCCGCTGCTTTGTGGGAGCGCCTGTCCCAGACGCCAATTACCTGGCACGCGAACCATCTCCATTGTGTGGCCGCTCAGAGGGGTCCAAGTCTGCAGGAAGTGCAAACCCAGCCAATTCGGCATCTAATCAATGGGCAAGCGGTGTCTGGGAAACAGGTACAGAGAAAGAGAAATGAATGAGCAGGTTGCTTTTCTCACTTGCTTATGCATTTGTATTTATATTGGAAGGCAGAGTCACAGTGAAGCTTGGAAACACATTTCATGACTGATATCAACATTATGCTATGAATTTATCAATTTTTTTTGCTATGGGCTAAACATTTTGTTGGTGTTAAATAAATAGCTTAATGAAATTAAAACATTTACTCACCCTAAAGTCATTCCAAACCTGTATGAATCCTTCTTCCTGAAAAATTTTAGAGCTTATCTTGTAAAATATATATATTCTTTGTAAAAATGTCCATGGAGTTTTTATTAATTAACATGACTTTAACAAGTCTATGTTCATATATTTATTAATTTCTATATTTCTAAATAAATCACACTTTTAAAGTTAGGCTACATCCGTTGTTGAAGGGGTGATCAGTTGTTGTTGTTGTTTTTTTTAAATGATTGTTTCGTCTTATTTTAAATCATTCTAGGTCATCTTGAGGTGTGAAGCCTTTTTGAAAGTTTGCTGTGGCCCCTTGGTTGAGAACTAAAATATCAAATTTCTGATGTGCCAAAGTGTTAATGTAAATGGAAACAAGATCAAATAAAAGACAAGACCAATAAATCTGCATCTCTTACAGTGGAAAACAACCTTAAACAAACCGAAAAATACAAGAAATACGATTAAGCGGTTTCCTCTCAAAAAATGTCAGTATTCATCACCCTGCTACTGAATTAATGTATGTGATTATAGTGACCTGAATAAAGATCTTCTCTCTTACTGTATCTGGAGCAAGAGACGCCTTCTGTCTCCCAAGTGAGCCAATTTACGCTGGAGTCCACTTCATTGTGTGCCGTATCGATTCAGTCTGAACTCTTTTTCCTGATAAAGAAAGCCAATGAGCTGGATGCAGATGTCTGCGGGGTGAGATGGCAAGGAAATCTCATTCAGGAAATGAAAGCGAAACTCAACCTGTGGGCTTCAAAGTGGCAAAACATGTCAGTCAGTTCAAAGCATTTTTTAGGTGGATGTCAATGAAGAGAAGCATGTGTGTGATTACAGTCTGCAACAAACCCACCATCATGTATATGTTACACTAATGGGAATTATTTTTTGTTGAAAAAAAAAAGGAGGACCATTCCTTTAGGATACTATAGTCATGGGTGCTGTGGCTGGTACATGAGCAGAGGAAAATAACAAGGACATCTTCAGGGAGACAGATTCACTTTGATCCGAGTTAGAGCTGAGAGACACTGGGTCTGACAGGTTATATAACTTTCGCTTTTGTGGCTTAGTTCGTGACTGACTGCATGTTGGGGCTGGGAGAATGGAAGAAGAAAAGGGAGGAAAATCCTATTCAAGATTAGAAGTCAAATATTTAATTCAAAATAAACATGTAAATGGGTAATGAACGGATACAAATTTGATGTTTATGTCCTTGTTAAGTTAAAGTAAATCAAAAAGGATATTTTTTTGGTATTTTTGATTTACATTGAGTATAATACTCTCAGAAAAATGGTACCCAAGCTGTCCCTGGGGCAGTACCCTTTCAGAAGTACATTTTTGTACCTTATTTACCCCTAAAGGATGCATATTAGTACCGATATGTATAATTACCTGAAATGCAGTACCTAAATGGTGCAAATTAGTACCTTATTGTTGTGTGTTGCCAAAGTGACAGCTGTTGTATCATTTTTCTGAGAGGGAATATCACACCGCAGGTCCCTGCTTTCACTTTCCCAAACATTAAACTACCAAATGGTTTTCAAACCATTAAACCTTGAATGCACTTTGGTAAAAGCAACATCATTTAAACTTGGTAAAGCGAATGGTGTTATGAACACAAAGTCTAATCATGTCTGATTTCAGCTGTGGATCCATGTGAGCGATGGGGAGGTTACGAAAGTGCTGTGCTTGCCAAAACGGTGAGCATTTGTGTGATTCATAGGATCATTTAAAAAAAAGAAAAAAAGAAATAACACTGCAAAATGTACACATGCTCTCAGAGACTCGGACCCTTTCCATCTTCACGTTAGGCAAAGGTAATTAAACTGTCACGTTTGCATTGCAAAAAATGCAGGAGTCACCACATTCCCCTAACGTCGAGGAATATCTGTCACTTGTGGATGACTTCTAAATGGTCCATTTCCTTATCTGAACCTTTGATTTGTGCGAACACCCGTGTCAATAAAGCCCTCCTCCACATCGCCTCTGATGTTGTCTCAAAATGAACATCTCCAATTAGACACGAGCAATCATTCATTTGATGGCTTACCGTTTACGTTCATTGTCGCAATATGTGTGAACGTGTGTGAGATAATTCATTGTACCTTGAGGGAAATCTAACTCTTGATCACTGCATGAGAATAATTACGCCTCCTTTGTGTTTATGCTGATAAACTCATCATAATTTGGCACTGGCAACTACAGCTTCATCAAATTTTAGACAAGACAGATTAAAAATAGATAAAACCACAACCTGAATCATAAAAAAAAAGAAGGTACGCACAAAGAATGATGAATTGTCATTCAAAACGCTTGAGTTAGCAGTTAGCGCTAGCTTAGCTTTGTATTTAGATCTTTTTTTCCTCAATGCGATTGACTCAAGCACACAAACAATAACATGAGACTTTGAGGGGCTTTCTGTGTTCGTTTGTGCCGGGATACGAATTCTGAAAGGCCTGTGTAGGCCTTTGTTTCCGTACTACGCGCTACTATGCCGTCTCCTCTCTCATTAAATTATACATGAATAGGAAACAATTGAGCCATAATTGATAGGCCTCTCCGTTCATTCTCCTCACAGACACTCTTTATCAGCCACGTAGTGACAAAAATCACAAAGGCTGTCTTCTCCGTCACCTTTTCAGTTCATCCAGACTTGGACTGGTACCATTGTTCTGGCCTGGGCCTGATAAGGCACTGATAATGTTAACCGGTTATCACATTTGCAGAAAAGAGGGCAAAATAAAAGACCCAAGACAGCCGGCGAATTAGCGACTTTGATGAATCGTCGGTTTGAACACGAGAGATTAGCATACTGATTGGACTGATTATTTGTAATTGCGGTTGGAAGTGAAAGCGGGCCGCTCCGGATCGTGCTGGTTTCTGTTCCAACCAGCTGAAATCACGGGCTTTGTAATGATGTTGAATTAATCTTTCTTATCCTCCATGCCGGGTTCATATTATTGCAAACCAGGGTTTTGTTTGAAAAATTGAATTGTGAAACGGCAACAGACTTTTTTTTTTTGAGTAGGCTACACACTTCACAGGCTTTTGCGAGGTGGACACATGGCAGAGTCTTAAGGGGCGGACGAGATGCACGATAGGGGAAATCTACATGACTTTGTGCAAGTGCTTTCACCTGAGGTAGAGCAAGTGCCCTTCAAAGCCATCTGTTAGCATTTGCAGCAGCTAATTAATTTGTCCTTCACCGGATGTGTCAGTACAGCCAGGAGAATACAGATCCAGACAGATGCTGAACACTAGACAGTCCTGACGCTCGGGAGATTCTATGCACCGTCTAGAGGATATCGAGACACAGAGCAAGATTAATCAATCATGATAGTGCATGAAGTTGTTTTGACGAAAGAGACACTCAGGCTGAGGTAAAGCTGGGCCTTCAGCATTGGGTACATTTGCATAATATTACATTTCTTACGCAGCAATCATTTCTTTGTAAGTTCAAGATGATTGATGTTTGGTATTGATGCCCCCATCATCTCAGATACCACTAGAGAATCTGGCCAAGAACATTATCATATATTACTTTCTGTAAACAAACTCTGCCTGCAGTACAAACCAGTGTAGATTGCTTCCCAGAACCCATTTATAGACCCTTCCATCTCCAGTTCTTCAAAAAGACCACGGCAGATATACTAGAGACAATGGAAAGAGGAAAAATAATGTCTGCTGTTCAACACTGCAAGTTGTCGGAAGAGTTGGAAGAGTAAAAAGAACACTCAGGTCTAGCTCACTGGAGTCAAAGCATAATTCTGTTTTGGTGGAATATCATCACATTCAGAATAAGAAACATATGGTTCACAAGACCCCTACAAGTCGCTTCCCAATATTTATGCAAACGCTCAAACATACGCTAGTTCTCAATCTCTGTATCTAGGTCTTGCTATATTTGCCCAGTTTTGCTTTCCACAGCACTTTTTCTGAATAATTACTCCCTTTCGAGTCATGAGCAATACTCTCAGCAAGCTCACTGGTTCTTAGAAAGAAACACTCAGTGTATTGAGGTCAAAGAAAGCCTGGAGATTAGATCTATGCAGATACATGATTACATTTTGAATGTATAATAGCTGAAACGAGACTTACACAAATGGATAAAAAGTGTGGAAGAATTCAAGGACCTTCAATACATCCCCAGGCCTGGAATTGGTTTGAGTGAACAGCTGTTCTCAAAAGACATTTACTCTAATGAACGGCACATCATCATTATTGCAGTGCACTACAGGCTGTTGTTGCATGTAGGCATTTAAAGTGAGAAAAAAAACCTTTTCTAATTTACTCTAATAGGAAGTAAAAATGTTGAATACAATAACAGTCTACACCTCAACCATTAGTTCAACCAGTTTAAAAAGGCACCTTCTTTTATTTCTGACAGCCTGTGGTCATGAAACATAAAAATTATTATGACGTTAAACAATCCCTGCTTACATGCTTTTAATGCATTATCTAATAATAAAATGAGCAACGGAATAGTCATCATCTTGCCTTAAGCCATGAACCAACGTCTTGCTGGAACAAAATGCAGTTATCAATTATGAGGCTCATTTACCAGTATGACTAGCATTATCAGATTCTCATTTGATAAGGAACAAATTATACGGCACATAGAAACACAGTCATTCTATAAGCTAGATAAAGAGATGAACAGTTTATAAAAGATAGGTGTAATTGTGGAAAAATACCTGTTTATCATAGGTTGTCAAATGGTAGGGGATTGTAGCATGATCCACTAAAACAACCATGAGAACTTCCCTATATACAAACTATATGTATGATGGAAGGTCTGCCGCCCCTCAAATATTTTTTAAAAAAATCTATTTATAGTCCCATGATGGAGCAGGTGGCCACCATAGGTGCAAAAACACACATGAGTCTTAGTGTGCCCTAAATCCTTCTCTTTTCACTGGGTTTTGCTCTTTTTTTTTTAAATCAAATGAAGCTTGGCCTTTTCTCAGAACCAACTTCCCTTTTTGCAGCCATTTTTGCAATTATAACCAACAAGGTCAAGTACCACATGTGTAGCTTATTACATGAACTATGTCTATGAATAGAGCACTCTGGGAAATGAAGTGTTCTTCCATTATGACCCATAAAATAAAAGGTAATTTATATAAAGAAATACATAGGCTATAGATTAATTAAAAAATTTTGTAGAAGAAATTTCAAACATTTATTCGTATTCAAATCATCACATATGTCTGGAAATACCCCATGTGTGTATGATAACATTATTCATCGCGTGATAACATTAAAAAATACAAATAGAAACTACATTTAACCCTTAAATGTATACCTCGGATCTTTAGCGTTCCAGGACATCATTCACTACCCTTCTCCTCATTAATTATTTTAAGTTAGACATCAACCTTCTTAGTATTCCTCAATCAATTCATTATAAATAATATAACAAAAAAAATCAAATATTAAAAAATGCCTGTTTTCCCATTCATTTTTTTAAAAATTACACACACAGCGCTAATGACCCGAAGTGTGTAACAGTGTAAGTATACTTTTTATGATCAGTTGAATCTTTGATGACTGAATACATGCAGTTCACCTTTATTCCACAAGGTGGTAATGTCAGAAACACAATGATGAAGTGACGTTTCACTCATAGTTACCACAGGCGGAAAACAAAAGAATAGGCAGTATCATCAGCAAAACTTGAAATGGCTCAGCGATTTATTTCAGAAAGTTGTGAACTCAATCAAATATTGTGTCACTGTCACTTGATGTGGATCTGG